AAATAACCACCCCCCCCCCCCCCCACGCACCTTCTTGAGCTTCTCGATCTCGGCCTCGTCCTTGCGCACCCCCTGCTCCCACATCAGCACCTTCTCCTGGTCCTCACGCAGCTGGTTGCGCTCAAAGTCCAGCTGGATGCCCAGGCGAGTCTTCTGGTTCTCAAACTCCAACCTGGAGAAACAAAAAAAAGAGGAAAAAAAATAATATGGGGGGTCCCCAAAATATTGGGAGGGTCCCCAAGGGGTTGGGGAAGAACCTCGAGCTATTTTGGAGGGTCCTTGAGGTGTTGAGGAAGGATCTTGAGGTGTTGAGGAGGAACCTCAAGGGGTTGGGGAGGTCTCCAAGACATTTTAGAGGTCCCCAAAAGGTTGGGTTGCCCACGAGGGGTTGGGGAAGAACCTCGAGCTATTTTGGAGGGTCCTCAAGGTGCTGAGGAGGAACCTTGAGGTGTTTGGAGGGGACCTCAAGCTATTTAGGGGGGTCCTTGAAGTGTTGAGGAAGGATCTTGAGGTGTTGAGGAGGAACCTCAAGGGGTTGGGGAGACACTCCAAGGGATTGGGGAGGTCCCCAAGAGGTTGGGTTGTCCCCGAGGGGTTGGGGAAGGACCTCAAACTATTTAGGAGGGTCCTCAAGGTGCTGAGGAGGAACCTTGAGGTGTTTGGAGGGGACCTCGAGGGGTTGGGGAAGAACCTCGAGCTATTTAGGAGGGTCCTTGAGGTGTTGAGGAAAGATCTTGAGGTGTTGAGGAGGAACCTCAAGGGGTTGGGGAGACACTCCAAGGGATTGGGGAGGTCCCCAAGAGGTTGGGTTGTCCCCGAGGGGTTGGGGAAGGATCTCAAGATATTTAGGAGGGTCCTTGAGGTGTTGAGGAAGGATCTTGAGGTGTTGAGGAGGAACCTCAAGGGGTTGGGGAGGGACCTCGAGCTATTTAGAAGGGTCCTCAAAGTGCTGAGGAGGGTCCTTGAGGTGTTGGGGGGTCCTCAAGATATTTAGGGGGGTCCTTGAGATATCGGGGGGGACCTTGAGGTATTGGGAGGGTCCCCAAGACATTTCCCCTTTTTTTTTTTTTACCTCTTCTTGGCGATCTCGTTCTGCCTCTTGACCTTCTCCTCCTCAAACTCCCGGATGTTCCTGACCCCGATTTCTCGGCAAAACTCCTCAAAAACCTCATCTTCCACCTATGAGGTGGGGGGGGGGACACACACGTCAGCCTGGGGGGGTCTGACATTGCACCCCATGGGGGGCCCCCCCAAAAAAGAAACCCCACCTGGTTCATCTTCTCCTTCAGGTCCTTCATCTCCCGCTCCCGGCCCTGGATGATTCTTTTGATATCGTTAATTCGTGGCCCAAAATTGGCCAATTCGCTCTCCAGTTTCGACTTTTCCTGGGGGGGAAGGACAGGGAGGCAAAAAGAGGGGTCAGGGGGGGCTAAAGACCCCCCCCCACACCCCCAAAACCCCCCCCCCCCCCCCCCCTTTCCCCCCCCCCCCCCTCACCAGTATCATCCCAGTAACCCCCTCCCAGTCCCTACTGGTGTCCTCCCATG